AGCGTCTCAGGGGTTAAAGTCAGACGTGAGGACAGAGTTCTGAGGTGTTGATGAAACGGTGACTGAACGTTGGTCAGTGACCTCTTCCCATGAATAAGATGGTTATGTGGCGGCACCAGCATCTTACCGATTAACATCCCAATATCAATAAACCCAACATCTGTACCGGCATTGGCCAAAATGTTATTCTGAGCATCGTCATCGGCCAAAATGTTATTCTGAGCATCGTCATTGGCCAAAATGTTATTCTGAGCATCGTCATCGGCCAAAATGTTATTCTGAGCATCGTCATCGGCCAAAATGTTATTCTGAGCATCGTCATTGGCCAAAAACATTTCTAAACATTGGTTTCGGCCAAATTGTTATTCGTATCATCAAAATCAGCATCGACAAAATTATTTTTCTGAACATTATAGGACACATTTGTATTCTAAACTCGGTATCAGCCCAATGTTTGGTATCAGCATTGGCCAAATTGTACTTCTAAAAATCTGCATCGGGCACATTTCTTGACTAAAACCAGTAACAACATCGGTTGAATTGTTATTCTAGACATTATAGGACGCTTTTTCAAATTTCAACTCTGTATCAGCCCCAATTTTCATTCTAAAATGTGGTATCAGCATTGGCCAAAATGTTATTCTAGCATCGTCATTGGCACATTTTTATTCTAAACTCAGTATCAGCTCAATGTCTGGTATCAGCATTGGCCAAATTGTTATTCTAAATATCCGTATCGGGCACATTTCCTGACTAAACCCAGTAACAACATCGGCTCAATTGTTATTCCTCCTATCGGTATCAGCACAATTTCTTATGTAACATCGACATTGGCTGAAAGATTTGCATTCGGTGGATCCCTGGTTTCAACCTTTGCTGCAGCATTTACTCTTGACTTCCATTGAAATGAATGAGAGTGTCTGGGTTGCTTCGCCTCATTAGAAGAGGGACATTATTGGGTTAACAGGGGAAAGTGAGCTTGAGAGGAAGGATGTTTGAAAGGTGAAAAGCGTTGAGGAGGCGGAAGATTTACTCCCCAAATAAAGCTGATAAGCCTGAATGGAGAAAGTCCTGTTTGTGGAAGATAAGTGCTCAGAAACACTCTGGCGCTCTGAGGGTCTTTCTGTGGGAAAGAGAAGGGCTAAAGGCAACTCATTTCTAATCACTGAAATAACACTGCTGTGGTTTCATAACAACACAATGGATTCAACGTTTCAGGAGACTCACTGTGGAGAGACAGGAACAGGGAGCAACCGGCTTCCAAAGAGGGTGACGCGTTACTTTAGAAAAGCTACCTGAAGAAATAACGGCTGATAAGATAATGTCTGCCATTGATAGCTTATAATATTCGGACCAGATATTAGATTTTACATTTGTGGGAATTTTTTAATGTTGGGCTACAAAGGAACTACAGCACGGTCACATGACTGCCCGGTGTTTTATAACGTATTTGATGTCCTAGATCAAGAATCTCTGCAGGTAGGAAACTTCTCTCTCAGGGCCATCTCACCTGATGGCTGCTGAAAAGATCCACTGCTCACTGTCTGTCTGCATTCAGCAGCTCTGAGGAACCATTGTCTCTGTGTGTGTGTGTGTGTGTGTGTGTGTGTGTGTGTGTGTGTGTGTGTGTGTGTGTGTGTGTGTGTGTGTGTGTGTGTGTGTGTGTGTGTGTGTGTGTGTGTGTGTGTGTCACCTAGTTGTATTGGTGCAAGTGTCCTGTTGATGTTTTAATGGCTCCTGGGTGACTTCGACACAGCGTAGAGAAAGAGCTGCTGAGTGTCACACACTACCATGGAGATGGACAGGTGTGCGTGTGTGCGTGCGTGCGTGTGTGTGTGTGTGTGTGTGTGTGTGTGTGTGTGCGTGTGTGTGTGTAGTTAGTGTCACAGCCTAGGAAGAGACACATTTCCTGCTGCTGACCTCGATAACAAACTGCGTTTTTTATTTCCTAATAAGTTGCTTTAAATAATATTGTTTCATACTGGCTGAAAGTATTTTGTATATGTTCCATCTTTTATTTGTATTTTACAATTCTGTTGTTTGTCTGTGCCACCTTGGCATTGATAATTAATAACAAAGTTGGTAAACAAAGGAAAAAAAATTATGAAAAAAGGAAAATTTTGACAAATAAAGTCAGAATTCTGAGAAAATGTCAAATTCTGAGGTTCATTTTTTTTATTATTGATGTAAAAAAGAGCCCAGTCTGCTCTGATTGGTTAGCGGGCCGGCTCTGTTGTGATTGGTCAACTGCTTACAGATGTCCCGCCCCCAATGCCACGGAGTCCCTTTAAGATGAACTCTTCTTCTGCTTCCAGTGAACTGTATGTTGCGCTGCGTACGCCGAGTGTTGTTTTATTTTCTGGATTCAAAGACACGTCTCTTTTCTTTAAATGTAATGAAGTGACTGCACCTTTAATGGGTGAGGAAGATGTCATTGCATCTCTGCCTCTTTTTCTGTTTCACTTTTAAGGTCATATTCATAATGTTATCAGTCGAAATGTGTAAACAAGATAAATGCTTTCTTGGTCTCTTGTGGCTCGTTTGAAAAAGATCAAATGATAAAAAGCGTCTGACCTGATCTGACTTCCTGTCTCCTCAGGACCTAGAGCACTCTGTGGTGATACACACATCATCCTTCACTTCAGAGATCTCACCTCCTCAGATAACTCCCCGAACACACACAGGACGTCCAGCAGCAAACTGGACGAGTAGAAGGACTTGATCATGTTCCTGATGGAGGAAGAGGAGGAAGAGGAGGAAGAGGAGGAGAGGAAGGATTAAAGGGGGAGAGAGGGTTGAAAGAAAGAGGGAGAAACAAAGAGACACATCTATTAGTTCAAGGTTCAAGGTTAGTTTAGAGGCAATAGAGAGCGGTGCAGTGATAACGTCTTTCTGTAGTTCCACCCTGAGGGAAGCTGCTGGTTCCCTTGACAACAAGCTACGGGATTTCTCCAGAGGATTTTGGAATATTGTAAAAAATAAGGTCTGTGGAAAACGAAGCCGTTTGATAAATGCACGTTTTGTTCATCTCCACATGTCTACCCATCCATCCATCTTCTCCCGCTTATCCGTGGTCGGGTCGCGGGGGTATCAGTTCCAGCAGAGAGCCCCAAGCGTTCCTTTCCCCACATCAACCAGCTCTGACTGGGGGGTCCCAAGGCGCTCCCAGGCCAGAGAAGAGATATAATCCCTCCACCTGGTCCTAGGTCTACCCCTCGCTCTCCTCCCACCTGGTCCTAGGTCTACCCCTCGCTCTCCTCCCACCTGGTCCTAGGTCTACCCCTCGGTCTCCTCCCACCTGGTCTCCTCCCGGATGACTGAACTTCTCACCTTATCCCTAAGGGAGACGCCAGCCACCCTGCGGAGAAAACCCATCTCGGCCGCTTGTATCCGTGATCTGGTTCTTTGGGTCATGACCCATCCTTCATGACGAGGTGAGGGTAGGAACGAAGATGTCCCGGTAGACAGAGAGCTTTGCCTTCTGGCTCAGCTCTCTGTTCCTCACACGGTAAAGCGACTGCAGTACCGCTCCCGCTGCTCCGACTCTCCGACTCATCTCACGCTCCATTGTTCCCTCACTCGAGAACAAGACCCCGAGATACTTGAACTCATTCACTTGGGGTCTACCCTACTTTTATAATGTTCTAATCATAAATCTAATGTCCAGAAGCTAAATGCTAACGTGATGCTATAAAGGAACTACAGGCGAGTCCAGCAGCACGACTTCAACGTCACGCCAACTTCAGATCCATATCCAAACACACAGATTCTAAATGGTACGAGTTGAAGCGTTTGTTTGAACAGTCTGCAGGAGGCAGGTACTTGCTTTCAAGCAGAACAGGGCAAACTAACTTAGAGGAGTGTTTACGTGTTCGGCGTAATGACGTACAACGTCCTCCACGACTTCTGTAGTCCTATTCAGCCACTTGGTAACAACCATCGCTTTTCAGACACGTCAACTCTTCAGAAATCACCAGTGGGGTCACTGCTGATGGATTTAATGTCCTAGAACAAAACGTGATCCGTCTCTTCAAAGTGTCTCAACCACAGACCTTAGTTCAGATAGCTTCCAACATCCTATGGAGAGATCCCATTGGCTCTGAGACCAGGGAACAGGAAGTGGTGACATGCTGACTCACTTCACTTAGGACTCATTCCTGCACCACTCTATTCAAAGTGCTTCACATAGGCATTGATGTTCCATTCCCCCACTTCCAGTTTAGGTTTCTGTCTCATACAGCTACAAACATCGCTGTACATTCTCAAATATACATTTTTTATGTACAAAGTAATCACATATGGGGAATCCAAATAGTTTGTTCCTCTCATTAAAAACTGTTATAACTTAACACCAGTTCATTTTAAAGCTTGAGAACAGTTTCTTTGACAAGTTCAGGCTGACAAAGTCTACTTAAACAATTATTTTCCAGTTTCTACGGATGTTGTCCAGGCTTCAGATATAACCACATCATATTAAATCTTATAATAAAATCAAACACTGATGTAATTTTCATTTATTAAACCCCTGAAAACACACATTTAAAGAACGAGATCTGATACGTGTGTTTTAAATATTTCCCTCCTGTTTCCCTCCTGGGGGTTTACACTTTAGAGAAGCCAAGGCCCAGAGTTACCGGCACTAGTTAGGGTAGTTTCCCATCACACACACACACACACACACACACACACACACACACACACACACACACACACACACACACACACACACACACACACACACACACACACACAACACACACACAACACACACACACACACACACACACACACACACACACACACACACACACACACACACACACACACACACACACACACACACACACACACACACACACACACACACACACACACACACACACACACACACACACACACTAAGGGGTATGAATAGTGCAGTGTTTGAGCTCCTGAGCGGCCTCTCCATGTCGGAGGAAGTTTCTTATTCCTGCAAAGTTTCCCATAAACATCCACCTCAA